AGAAATTAGAGTTCTTTATACTATGGAAAATCAACCTGTGACAAAAGAAAAAATAGAAAAGGTGAATGAAACTCATAACTTTTCTTAAATAATCATCGGGGACTTTTTAAACCCCCTAGTTAATGCAAAATATTTTTGAAAATTTGTTATATCCGGTGTCTTCTGAAATCCTGAGTCTCTGGTTTTGCTGCAAAGAGAGAGAATTTATTGTGTAAAAATTTTAATTTTAAGGTGATTGGCTTTTACGAAGAAAAGATACGTGTTGCTTTCGACAAGTTAAATCTTTATGATTTACAAAAGGCTAAAAGGTTGCCGCAAATATTTTTAAAAATATTATAAGGTAGCACGTAGTCGTAAAAAGGGATGTACGATGTGGCGATTGGCGCCATTTTAGGGTTTTGTCATGTTTTTCCCCTCCTTTCGTGCACAAAAAAGTCAAAATTTTACACCTATAATGATGAAATTTCTAAATTAAATCGGGGCTAGTCGTAAACTGGTAAAATTAAACAAAAGGATATTGAATCTTTAAGTGAGGGACTTCTTGTCTTTGCACAAATTCTCAGTTTTTCATAAACGTTGTATGAGGATCGTTAAATTAAACTACCTCGTGCTCAGTGTTTATAAACTACATATTCTTGTGATTAATGTTTTCTATTATTGTACTCAGTGCTTACCTATACGTACTAGTGAGTTTCGAGTTTCTCGGTCTTGTTTCCCAAGTCGGGTAATTTCTTGGGTTTTCTGAGCTCTAGGTCTCAGTGTTTCAATATCGGAAAACGAGACTAAATTTACTCTAATATGGGAAATTTTTAGAATTTTATCGTACCTCTCGTATGTACTTTGATTTTAATTTTTAAAGGAAAAGGGACAGGAAAAAATTTTTTTCGTAATTACGAGGTACGAAGACAAAAATAGGACTGTATGAAGTACAATTAAGCATAAGCAAAATTGAAATTTATAAACACTGATTGTACAACCCTAATTTATAGTTATTAAAATAAATTTATTAAACGACGGCTTAACAATATTATTTAATTTAATTCAGGCCTGGATATTTAGATGAGCTCCATTACTGCTTCAATTCATCACTTTATGTGTATCTTCTAGCCTTTGCCCGAAAGCTCATTCGTTCATTTTTTGATTTTCATCGCACAAGCAATTACTACTATGACAGACATGTTGCAACGTATATTTTATTTAAATCTCATAAAGTATAATTGGTTTTTGTACATATAAACTACCTAATTAACTTTAGTGAAAAATATTTCCAATATTCTAATAATTTTTTAGTTTCATAAACGAGAAAAATAAAGTTTCAATTAGACAATATTTGGAAGCTTATGACCTTTTTGAGGCTTTGGCAATTAATTTGATGATTACAATGAAAAATTCATTTGGTAATTGATTTATAAAATAATTTAATTAAAAAATCCTAGGATTTAATATATTTCCACATTGGTTGGAAGGAATCGAAAATGACGATCTAGCAATAATTGCCGACTTGGAAATTTTGGATCCAGACAATCAAACTCTGATAAATTTTATTTATCAATATAAAGGTAATTTGTTGTTATATTTGTTTAGCTATTTGACGATTAAGTCAAAAATAAATTTATTTATAATCTACACAAATTATTATTTTTAAGATATAAATGAAGAATTAAATCTTCAAGATTGTGAAAACTTTTATGAAGAATGCGTGGATCGTATGGTGGAAAAAAACAAACGTAAACCATTGGATCGTACGGAAAAAATGAAATTTAACCCATTCTATTTATACTTTAAACGCCTTGACGGCAAACTTCAACTAAAACTTGAAAAATACTTGATAAATCCGTTTTTGACAGAGGGAGAATTTGAAGAACATAGGACCAAAATGTTAAATCAATACATGACGATAAAAGGAAATGATTATGTTCATTACAATAATTATCTACCACAACAGCGCGTTCATATTACAATACATGTAAAGTTGATTTTGTAAATTATAGCGCTTAAACGGCGCCGTCCTGGCCAAGTCCCGGAGCCATATTTTTAGCGATGACTTTTTCAATTCTTAATTTTAATAAATAATGTATCGATCGAAAGCTCTCGATGTAAGAATTGCTTATTTAGCAGGGTTACTCGATCAGATCCCCATAAAAAAGTTAGGCCTGCTCAAGTTCAAAAATGAAAATAGCTCGCACTTATCTAAATTTCACTTTATGTAGATTATCTTATCAAATCAATCCTGATGGATAAAATAATCCTCTCATCCATAGCCTTCAATTTATAAAATATTTATTCGAATTGGTTGAAAAACCCAAAAAGTTGAGCCCAACATATGTCTTTAGCACTCAGGACATAATGATTCCATGGCCTATATGTTGATGTTAATTTATGGGTTTTAAATCTAAAAGACGAAATAAATTCTGAGTTATTTAAATAATATTAATTTAAGGTACTTGCATATTGTGACCATAAATATGGCAAAAAATACAGACGTAATTATGGCGGTGGAGATGATTATAACAAAGGAAACTATGGTGGGAGTAGTGGAGGACAAAATTATGGCACAGAACGCGAAAGTGGTTATGGTGGAGTAACTAATTATGGCACAGGATACGGGGGGTGGTTACCAAGGCGGATACCATGGAAATTACTGAGGAAATTATTGGCTAGAGATGTCATTCAAAATTTCCAAAATTATTTATCAAAATCAGAATTGCCAGATTTTTATATTTTCTTGGTCATGTTGAGATCAATCATTTTGAGATCAAATGTCTGGGAAAAGGTATTCTATATGTGAAGAAATCTTCAGAAATTCTATAATGATTATCGTTTATCAACCTATGTATGTAGTGAGGCAAATTTGGGTTGTGACGAAATCCGTTTAAAGACAGTGAGGGGATAATCATAATTTAAGAGCTCCAAGTTGTATATTCACGAAAAAACAAGTTTAAAAATCTGGCAAAAGTTTAAATGAGAAAATAGGAATTGATATTTTAAATGGGTGAGGGGCATCAAGGAATGACAAAACACAGATCAGAGAAATAATTCATTCTTGTTTAAAAATCTGAATATTTTCAAAAATAAAAATGCAGATTTTATCTCTGGACCGTGTTTTGGTCATTGAACGATTAATCGTTTGTTTTATGGTAAGACCTTGTTTTGTCTTCTCCGTGTTTTAGCCTGACAAGTTTTAAATAAATATTTATGCTTTGCAATTTTAAAATATCATTGTTTCTATTTCAAATTTAAATTTTCTGAACAAATCCATTCATTTAAAAAATCTCCAGTATATTACTGGTATTTAAAGTGTTCAATGAGGCCGATTTAGCGGTCTTGGTAGGAAACACTAAATGTAGTTTTTAGCTTTATTTTCTGATATTTATCATTAAATTGTTTGTTTTTTTATTGAACAAATTTCGATAAATTGAAGAAATTGTGTTTTTAATTTTATTTTAATCTATCAAAGTAATTCAATTGAGTCCTCATATGTATATAGCGGAAAAATCTGATGGAAATCAAAATCTAATGCCAAATGTGTAAACTAAAAATATATATATATTGGAAATAATTTAATTTTGGAAAAAAATTTATTTATTTTCCTTATTTCTTTTTTAATCTACAGCCTTATAACATTTCAAATCTGCCGATATCGACCTCAAACACTGTGGGCCCTCGATATAACCCAAATCCTTGACATTCCATTAACAGATTTATTTTTCACCGTCATAGGCGATTATTGAAACTTTTTTGAGACAAAGAAGCAAAGCAATTACACATCTTTACTAATTTTCTATCAACAATAGATAAGCAAATAAAGGCATAAGTAAATAAAAAAAGTCAATTGCATAAGTAAATAATGCTAAGTGAATAAAGGGATTTTTGTATAAAGGACGGTTACAGGATTAGGGATTTGAGAAGAGGGTTTTTAACACCGCAGGCGAAAATTATAGAATTTATAGGGTAGCGCTGAACACGAAAATTTTAGAAATTTTAACACTAAACAAAAAATCTTGCATTGTTTTTTATGCTACGCTTACATAAAAATCGCGCGCGACACGCGACAAAAAAGATAATGGAAAAAGAGGCAGGAAATGATAACATGGCAGGAAATGATATTTCCTTCATTTTTCTTTCAAAAATAATAAGGGAAAAGTAAATTGGGAGAAAACTTTTAAATTTTATTCATTAATTTCTCCCAAAAAATGACATTTTTTGAGGGTATAAAACCCCAATAACCCCGAAACTTTTCGGGTCGGGGTACGGGGTTTTCAAATTGTTTCGAGGCAGGGTTCGGGTCGGGTAGAATCGTGAAAAAATCGTTCGGGAACAGGGTCGGGGTCAATTGTGGTAAAATTAAATTATAAACTAAGATCAAAAGTGCTTAGAAATTTTCAAAATTATCCTTTTGTATTAGTCATGGAAAATAAGAAAAATAAAATAAATTGAAATTTTTCAGAAAATATCACTTTTTTAAAATCAATATTAACCTGTAAATTTTAAATTTAAAAATTTAAAATTTATATTGATCGATAGTGAATAAACTGAACTTTCCGAATCTTCTTAAATTTTGGAAATCGGATCAGAATTGATTGAGAAATAGTATACCAAACTTCTTAAAAAAGTTGTCGCGCATAACAGCTAATAAATCATATTAAATTCAAGTTTTATTCGTCAAACAAACAACTTTTTCATTATAAAAATTTAAATTTAATTTTAGACAAATAAAGAAACCCAAGTCAATAATATTAAAAATTAAGACATTGTTATGAATTTTATTTAAATTTTAACCTAAATTTCATTTTAAAATTAAAAAAATACTTCCTCTTCACTTTTTTCATTGAAACATTATTTCATTTAATTATTAAAAACCGGTTAAAATCACAACAATATTTATTCGTTTCAACCAGTTATTTTGGCAACTCTTGAGGCAATTGAAGACTATAAAAGCCTAGTATGTGCACTATTAGAAATTCAATAAAAATATATTTCCTCTTAATAATAATATAAAAAATGAAGTTCCAATCGCTGATTATTCCTACAATTTTTATCGTGTTAGTTGTATTATTTTATGTTCAAGCTGAAGAGGTTGGTGAAGTGGTGAGTATTATTTCAAAATTCCCGATTTCCGGGAGCCGGGAAGGCTCGTTCCCTAGTATGTAGATTGTGGCCATAGCCGACAATTATCTGGTCTTCATTAAAAATATTGAAAATCTTGGATCAGATTGGAATTGTTTGAAATGTCTAAAAGCTGCAAGTCGGAAAAACGTCGAAACTTAAAAATTGGAATTCTGATCAACTCCTTTTACCACATTTATTTAAGCTATTATAAATTTGATAGGAACGCTTTGCAAAAACATTATATTAGTCAGAAAAAAAATAAATTAGATATTTACTTTAGAAGAAATATACCTAAATTAGATATATTTAATAATTGGATATTTTTCTAGGAAGTAGAAGCAATTGCACAAGGAGGTGGAGGCAAGCGAATTCAACGCCGATTTTCATGTTATGCTGCTTGCGCTGGACATTGTCGAGCATATTATGGCTACTCCAGTTACACAGACTGCTGTGAATGTTATTCTCGTTACGGGTAGAGTTGCACAAATTAAATGAAATAATGTTTCAATGAAAAAAGTGAAGAGGAAGTATTTTTTAATTTTAAAATGAAATTTAGGTTAAAATTTAAATAAAATTCATAACAATGTCTTAATTTTTAATATTATTGACTTGGGTTTCTTTATTTGTTTAAAATTAAATTTAAATTTTTATAATGAAAAAGTTGTTTATTTGACGAATAAAACTTGAATTTAATATGATTTATTAGCTGTTATGCGCGACACGCGACAATCGCGAGGCTGCAAGTTGCGACTGTTTCAAAACTAAAAAGATCATAAAATCGTTTAAGCCGTTATATCATTGTACTTTTCCCACACCCACTACGCCAAACTATTGCAACCGTCAATGAAAAATGAATTAGAAATGAATTAGGCGATCAAAAATTGGAAGATCTACATAGTTCTATAAAGGCAACCAATAAATCCTCATGAAAATTTAAAATTAAAATCATTTTTCAAAAACTTAATTTTTGTTTTGTTTGGTAAAACAAAACTTGAATTTTTGGTAGAAAAGACGAAATAAATGTAATATACATATGTACATATATAGTATTTTTAGACTTGCGTGTTAAAAATTCAATAATTTTTAATTACTCAAATCATTTTTGATCTATTTATAATTTCGATTTAATATTTTAAATTCAAAATTATTTTCTGTTCGCCAACTTAAATTTCAAAAAACCGGTTTAAATATTAAAAATTTAATCCTTTAAAAGAGTTTTTTTGGTATTTCTTGCAAAAATCTAAATATAAAAGGCCGAAGGATCTGATAATTATATCACAAAAATGGCAATCCAGGAGAATTGTGGTCCCTGCGAAAAAAAAAGTTTAAAAATAAGAAAAAGGAGTTTTCTAGGGTAAAAAAATATGCTGATCACGAATCTGAACTCAGATTTTGAAAAATCTACCTGCATATGAAAGACTGACCATTTTGTACAATGTCCGGGGTCAAATTCCGAATTCGGGTCCGGGATTCGACTTTTTCAAAATCTGAGTTCAGATTCGTGATCAGCATATTTTTTTACCCTAGAAAACCCCTTTTTCTTATTTTTAAACTTTTTTTTCGCAGGGACCACAATTCTCCTGGATTGCCACAAAAATATTCCTAAGGCATTTAACTTGAGATAGATTTCAATTGAATAAAAGATGAATTCTCAATCCTTGATTATTCTTTCCATTCTTTTTGCGTTTGTGATGTTATTTACTGTTGAATCGGTGACAGGTGAATTGGTAAGCATTTATAGAGTTTATAATAGTGAAGCAATGCTACTAGGTAAGAGATCTAACGATCTGTTATTATCCATTACAGCGCTGCCTCCTGCTTATCATTAAGAATTAAACAGCTATATTAATTAATTATTTATCAAATTAATTTGTAAATAATTAAATAGTAATTATAATATTTCATCATAATAATATAGTATCTTATTAAAGTAGTAGGTATGGGTCTGAGGTTCCCTTGGAGTAGTATGAATCCTTGACAAAAAAGGTAACTCTGTTTGAGCGGTTCCACAAGTTGGTGGTAAACGTATTAACGTTGATTTGATTTTTATATTATGCTGTTGCTTAGAGACTTGTATACCATATCCATAGGGATGGCAAGGATACCATAAAATATCTTCCTTTACGTTCATATATAGACTAGTTAAACCCTACACATTTTATTAAAATTCATAAATTGAAGGATGCCGTCGAGCTCATGACTCATCATTTGCAAAAACGCCACTGCTTTTGCGGTCCTTCGCATGTGCCTTGTGCTTGTGATGAACTTAACAATGAAATGACGGTGAGTTTTTGTGGTCAATTATACACAATTTTGTGTCACGATTATGATTAAGTTTGGGTTTTCGAGTCAGGCCGACTTCGCGTCATTTTACAGGACCTCATTTTTATTGGGCCAGCCCGACCGTCTTTTTTCTGGCAAAAATTTGATGCCCGACTCGATCTTTTGGACCGGAACGGGCCCCACCCTAGTCACAACCCTAGAATCTGCAATCAAAAACAGATTGACTTTATTTACTTTATTTTAAGCATCTTTTACAAAACTCTAGATAATCGACTAAAGTGTCCAACTATATTTAGAACTCTTTTTGGGATTTTGTACTTTGAACATTTTAGAATTTAGAAGTTTTTTGGAATTGTGAAAATTTTACAAGAACATTCTCTAAGGTATTGAGAATTATTTCATCCTTTACTAAAAGTAAAACGAAATAAAAAAGAGTTATTTGATAGTTTTCTAGAAGGGAGATGTAAATGCACAAGGAGGTGGTGGCAAACGTCTTCAACGCCGATTTTCTTGTATTAAAACCGCATGCGTTTCTTGTAACTTGCCTACTTGTAAAGTCACTTGCAGCTTCGACTGCACATATTAACCCGTTACACAATCATTTGTGATTGTTGAGACTACTGAGTTATAATTGATACAGTAGAATTGATGAATAAAACTAAAGAAAATATAATTTCTAATGATAACTTAAATTTTTTGTTATCTATTGTCGATTAGAAAATTAATAATTATGCGTAATTGCTTATGATATAAAATTATTTTAATTTTCTGGACAAATAAAATAAAATATATTTGATATATAAAAATATATTTATTGTGTTAATTAAACAATTTCTGATATCTCGCATTTTAAGCCACCCTTCTCCGAATGATATTTTGGACATTTAGCTTAAATTTTGATTTCCATAAGATTTTACCTCCATATACGAAAACTCAATTGAATTTCTTCGATAGATTAAAATAAAATTAAAAACACAATTTTCTTCAATTTATCGACATTTGTTTAATAAAAAAACAAACAATTTAATGATAAATATCAGAAAATAAAGCTAAAAATACATTTAGTGTTTCCTACCAAGACCGCTAAATCGGCCTCATTGAACACTTTAAATGCCAGTAATATACTGGAGGTTTTTTAAATGAATGGACTTGTTCAGAAAATTTAAATTTGAAATAGAAACACTGATATTTTAACTCTGAAAATGTATCACTATTTATGTCCAGATCCCAAAAAAGAGGGTCGAATAATTTTTTCATTAATTCATTGAAATGTTCAATTTTTCCATAATAGTTATGTTTGGAAAAATTTTGAAAAGAGATTAACTTTTTATTTCTTCTTTATTCGATGAAAAAAATAAACCAAGGCAATCTATGGAAATTAAGCGAAAGCTTGTGCAAGACCCATCGCTTCTCACTTGGTTTTGCGGCACGCATCTCGCGAAGAGTCAAATGTCGCAGGGTTATGCACAAGTAACACAAACCTATTCCACTCTTGGTAGGAATAGGCTTCCTTGCTGCATTCATTTGCTGCATGCTTTGCAGCAAAAACTTAAACAGATACCATAGGTAAGGAGTTAAAACTTAACTTTGTTATAAAGAAGTTAATCTCTTTTCTTCATTTTTCTTATACAAGCAGCTACTTTTAAGGAAAAATTGACCATTTCAATGAGTAATGAAAAAATGGTTCGACTCTTTTTTCGGATAGGGCCTTAAAGATTTAAAATATCATTTCCTATTTTCTCATTTAAATTTTTGCCAGATTTTTAAAATTTGTTTTTCTTAACATACAACGTAGACTTGAAATTAAAATTTGCCCCTCACAGTCTTTAAACGGAATTCGTCACACCCCAAATTATCCTCACTACATAGGTTGATAAACGATAATCTTTATAGAATTTCTAGAGATTTCTTCACATATAGGCTACCCTTTCCCAGACATTTGATCTCAACTTGATTAACCAGAAATAGGTTAACCAAGAAAATTCAAAAATCTGGCAATTCTGATTAAATAAATAATTTTTTGAAATTTTGAATGACATCTCTAGTCAGTATCTTCCTCAGTAATTTCCATGAAATCCACCATAACCACTTCCGTGTCCTGTGCCATGAGAATGTCCACCGCCATAACCACCTTCGTGTCCAGTGCCATAATGATGTTTTCCACCATAACCACTTGCGCTTCCTGTATCAAAGTTTGGTTTTCCAATAAAACCTCTAGCTCCACAATATTTAATCATCTTAAATTGATTATTAAATTAATAATATTTGAAAAAACTCATAATTTATTTTGTTTTTTACGTTTAAAACCCAGAAATCAACACTCATATAGGTTGCAAAAGATGGCAATATAGATCGAAATATGTTTGTTACCAAATGACAATATACATATGAGCATAAATATTTTATTAATATTTTATCATTCAATGAAAAGAGAAGTTGAAGCAAGGCTGCACGCAACTTCGGATTGCGAAACTGAGGATCCGGAACTGGGACTGCTCCGATTTTGAAATTATAGTAATTTAAAAGAGATTTTAGGGTCACAGTGATATTAAGGGATAGAGGTAGAGGAATTTTGCTGGATTAAGATTTGGTGACCAAATTTTAGATCAGTGGATTTGGGATGATTAATAGATTCAAGGATATTTGATAAATATCTTTCTAAAAATCTTACTCCCCCCTATGGTTTTTCGATTTTCGGGGACCTATATCTCGGCCCACAGGCATTTGCGCGCCTGGAGAGTGGTACCGATCGACTCAGCTCGCCGAGACGAATCGAATAGTATGGGTCTTATATCGGAACTTAAAATCCGGTATTCTAAACTACAGCCAAAATACTGTATAATCAGTTTTAATCTTATTAAACTATTAGGACTATTCTGTGATTCATTGGCAGTAAAATAAAAAAATTTTAAAAATCGAGAATATCGAGTGACATTTACGATATTTATTGATAAAATATCGACAAGCTCAGTCGGCCGATATCTAGTTCCAATGCATTGTGAATAATTGGATTTTATCTCAAAAAAGAGTTGAACAATAGAGCCCCACCTTCAATTAGAGCCCCCCCCCCCCACAATAGAGCCCCATGCAGTATTAGAGAAAATACGGTAGCTATTTATATCCTAAGAATGTGCATTAGGAAGCGTGGTGTAATGGCTAACACATCATTCCAGTCTACTATAGATGTTAGTTCGCTCCCAGCCGCGATATAATTTTTTGATAAGTGCCCACAACGTCATTTTTTATCTTTATTAGGCTTAACATTTCTGAGGTGATCTGATTAATGCAATCCTGCTAGATAAGCAATCTTTACATCGAGAGCTTTAGATTTTTACATTAATTATTAAAATCAAGAATTGAAAGAGTTATGGCAAAATATGGCTTAGAGACAAAGCCTTTTTGCTAAAATTAAACGGACGGTATACGGGTCTCAGATAAATGGTATACGGTCCTTCTAAACGGCGTTTAATTCGTTTAATTTTTTCCTAGAATTAGTGGTTTACAACGTGAAATTTTGCTTTTTGACACACCAAAATCAACAAATTTTCGCATGCGGTGCAAAGAATAGAAAAAAATCTAGCTTGTTGGCCTTCTACAATTATCAAAATTTTCGACTACGGCCCTGAAAACGGAGAATTTTGACTACTGGGATTCCTTAAATTCTCAAAATTTAAGGAATCCCGCGGCGCAAAATATGGAAGAAATCTGGCTTCCTAACCTCCAAAATATTCCAAACTTTTTTATTTTTTTTTGAATTATGAATTGTTTTTAAAAAATTTTAAAAATAAACGCTAAACGGACGTTTAAACGGGGTCCTTAAAAATTAACGAAACGGTATACTGGTCTCAGATAAACGGCATACGGTTTTTTCAAAATTAAGCGGTTTTGTCCCACCCAGGTTATAATTTATAAAATAAAAACTAGAGTTGGTCACGGTACGGTATTACAGCGGTCTTACCGAAAAATACCGCGATAATACCGTACCGTGACCAACTCTAGTTTTTATTTTATAAATTATAACTAGGGTGGTATTTTTCGGTAATACCGCGGTATTTTTACCGAAATACCGATACCGATACCGAAAAATCGCGTTTGCCTAACACTAATAAAAACTTTACATGTATTGTAATATGAATGCGTTGTTGTGGCAGATATAGATTGGAAGGAACATATTCATTTCTTTCTATTATCATGTATTGATTTAACATTTTGGTCCTATGTTCTTCATAGACTATCTCTGTCAAAAACGGATTTATCAAGTATTGTTCAATTTTTAGTTGAAGTTTGTCGTCAAGGCGTTTAAAGTATAAATAGAATGGGTTAAATTTGTTTTTTTCTCTCGAATCCATGCATTTACTATACAACTCTTGGCAATCTTGACGATTTACTTCTTCATTTGTAGCTTAAAAATAATAATTTGTGTCGGTTTTAAATCTATTTTCGACTTAAACGTCAAATAGCTGGACAAATATAACAAATTACCTTCATATTGATAAATAAAATTTATCATAGTTTGATTCTCTGGATCCCAAATTTCCAAGTCGGCAATTATTGACGGATAAATATTGTTGTCGTCATTTTCGATTCCTTCCAACCAATTTGGAAATATATTATTTCCTGAGATATTTTAATTAAATCATGTTAAAAATTAATTACCAAATCTTCTCTTGATTTGAATCATCAAATTAACTGCCAAAGCCTCAAAAAGGTCATAAGCTTCCAAATATTGTCTAATTGAAACTTTATTTTTCTTGTTTATGAAACTAAAAAAGTTATTATTTTTGACTAAAGTTAGGTAATTAATCCAAAATTCAATTATCCTTTATGGGATTTAAATAAAATATACGTTGCAACATGATTGTCATAGTACTTGTTTTCGGCATGAAAATCAAAAAATGAACGGATGAGCTTTCGGGCAAAGGCTAGAAGATACACATTAAGTGATGATTTGAAGTAATAATGGTGATCATTCATACTATATTCATCATGAATCTTTTTTGTGTAAAACTCAATCACCTTTGAATTAAAATTTTTAAACGATAGATCATTTC